CACTCGTTCGGCGAGGAGGAGCCCCGTGCAATTTACCGTGCAACGATCGCCCAGTCCTCTTCGCGGTTTCTTTTTCTTTCACTCGTTCGGGGAAGGAGTGGCGAGGAGTGGCTCGTGCCTCGTAAAATCGTTTCCGGACGTAATTCCGATCGAGCCTCCCGAATCTCTTACGCAACCATCTCTCGCTCTTGAGACCGATTTCTTTCGAGATCTCTCCTCTCGAGATCGGGCGGAAGAAGGATATTTCGTGTAGGAGATCTCTTTAAAGGAAACGTTATTTCTTTTTCTTCTCTTTTCTTTTTTTTTTTTTTTTTTCTTTCACTTTCGCATTGTCCAGTTGTCTTTCTCTTAACTCAGCGCGTTTCCAACTGCTCGATATGGGTGTTATAAAAGCGTTACGTCACGAGTCCGCTTTGGAACGAATTTGGATCGGGGCAAATTGCTTCTTCGATCGCGTCGAGGAAACTTAATCCGTGGATTAAACGTCTAACGAGGCTTCGTGGCATGCCGATGCATATTTGCTTGGATCGATTGTGGAACCGTTTTTACGTAATCGAGACGGGTGTAAACGCGATAAACGTCGTCGTGCAATCGTAAGAGGGGCGTCGTGATCGTAAAGGTTCGATATCCTTTCGGCAAAGTCGATCGATAACCAATTACGCGGATATTTTCGTTCCTTCGATCCGTCCAATCTTTTATCCCTGCGAAACTTGGTGCGTTACACGAGATGCGAAGAAAGGTTTTTCGGGACAGAAAGTGTTTTTTGGTAACGTGTGCACGTAACATCGGGTGAAAATGATCGGGGTCGTTATCCTCGCGAAGGGAAGGGACTCGTGTGCGTTCGCGCACGCTCCCCGATATCGAGCTGAACGGTAATTAATCACGCCACGCCACCGGCTTTTCGTCGATTTCCATCGACAATGGTAATTAAATAAGGAAAATATATATTGTAATAATTCGAGAGACGGATTCGCAAAGGGATCGCCGTGAAACTTTCACCTTTTCTATCTGACACGCGCGCGTTATGTACTTAATTGAATGATATTCCCGGCATCATGCTCGATGCTCGATGCTTAATTAGAAGGAAGATAAGTACGCGATACGCGAAGGAAGTTGTTAAGCGTCACGGTGAACGAAACCATTGTCGCCCAACTCGTTATCAACTACCATCTTCTTCGCGTTTCTAATCCCATCTTTTTTAAACTCGTGGACAAAAAAGGAAATGTATGCGAGAATAGTTTTTAAGCTTCTTTCGAGCAACAGGTGATTTAATTTTCAGGAAAAGAAAAATTCGTGTATCTTCGTACACGAAGTTGTCGAATCTTTTTAATCTTTTCTTCCTTCGATGTCGATGATTCATCGGATTGATTTCTAACTTTCTGGCCTCCCATTTAAATAATCGATTTGTATCTACGACGATCGATCGATGATATATTATAATCCTGCGAGAATATTACAATCCTGTCGTTGAATCGGGTTCCAGTGAAAAACGAGTCTTCGATTCCAAAGTCGAGTCTGTGCGCGCGGATGTGTCCATATTGGTAATTAATAACGAAGCTACGAACGCATCGATATTTTCCCCGGCGGACCTTTTTCACCAGGACCAGTTTTATAATCACTTTATAGATACTTTGACATTATACGCGACTCTCACTCTTGACACTAGCTGGCTAATATTTTAACCGGGTTTGCGAAATTATTCGATTTAATTAGGAACCACTTTCAGATATGCTAGAAACGTAGCTTTCAGCAGAGGTGGGAAAAAAAGAATCTGCTCTGCGAGTTGAAACGGCTCGGTAAAGGGCGCCAATACATATCTCTCTATATCAATTATAATTTTTCACCAGAGGGACAAGAGAGATTATTATTAGATTAAAATAACCGATAGTGACCGGTTAGATTATTCGTAATATAAACGAAGATTAAAAGTCATCAGAAATTATGGGCAGAAGGCGTATTTAACAAATAGATGGAATAAAGGAAGGCGAAGGTAAGAGAAGCGATGGTGAAAGGGAAATCGGCGAAAGGAGGGAACACGACGAAATCCCTTTTAACGAAATATCTTTTTTTCTTTCTTTCTTTCAAGCAATGTTTGCTCGCGGACGAAGGGAGAGGGTCGCGAAAAGGGCGAAAAAGGGAAGGGGCGTAACTAGAAAACGGGTTGATAAACACCTTGAGCGAGAACATCCATCCATATATTCATGAGAACCACAGTCTGCCCGACTCGAAAGCCTTTCCGATTATTGCATAAGGTTACGTTTGCGGTCGGTGAAGCAGAAATGCAGACTTGGCGAAAATTCCGCTCCTACCGTCTGCCTCCACGCTACTCGACCACGGGGATTTACTTTGTACTCTTTAGGCCGCATTTCCGTAACTGTGGCGCGTGAATACAAAGTTCGATTCGCGATCTCGGGGATCGAAGATTCTTGGGAAGATTCTTGGGGGATGGAAAGAATTCGCGAAATGACACGGGGTGGCCTGCGAAATACGAAAATACGAAATACTCGTGCGAGGAATTTCTCTTAAATAATTATTAAAAATTGCCTTTAAAGTAATTATTTATAAGGAGAAGAGAGAAATTAAGACGATAAAAATATTTGCGGAGTATCGGTGACCAGAGGTAACATAATGCGCAAACGTTTACATAATTTTATAGCGTTGTAAATTGCGGATTACTAGAAAGCAAGAACTGCAGAAATAATATGGACAAAATATCATACACGATAATGGATCCCACACGTAATGCGATCTCGAGCACTTAGTTAACAAAGTTCCGTGTATACGTAATATTGTAAAGATGAAAATTGATATAAAAGGTTTCTAATAGATTTCATTTAAAAAACCGATTTCGTAATATTTCGCTTCTTCTTTTTTTCTTTTTTTTTTATTTTTGGGTTACACGTTCGAATTTCTCGACTCGATTAAAAAGACGGGACCACGTAATTACGTATTCGTCGACGATCGAAAATGATTAAAACGAGAAATGCGGAGGAAAGTGCTGAGATCGCATTTTACAAATCTTAACACCTTTAATTATTAAGAGGTGAAAGGCTCGTAATGGCGGCGCGATACGTGCCAAATTATTATCGATGAGAGGAAAATTGGTCAACTGGCTCCGCCGACCCGTGTTATTAGTTTCAAATTCGGTAAATGAGACTGCGAGACGAGAAACAAGCGGACCGCAGTCACTGTGCGGTTTGCGCAATTACCAGAGTAGTGACGTTTCATCTAATTAAAGTGGTTCGTTACATCACTCGGTGGCCGTCTTCGCTTCGGCCCGGCCAGGGTGTTATCGTCGAAACGACGATACATCATAAATTTGAACGAAACCTCCACCGTATCCACCGATCGCTTTCACGTCCACGATGACGCGCGGAATTCTATCGAACTTCTATCGATAAACTTCGTTCTCGTATGGAAATCGCTTTCTAGTCCGAGGAGATTGCGACCGCGGCAAATCACTATGAATTCATCGAAAACAATTTAATCCGGGTGGAAGGTGAGACAGAAACTATCGACAAACATCTTCCTCTCACTTTTCATCCGGCCCGGATCGAACCTCCCCTCCCCTCCCCAATCGAACCCCCTCGCTCCGTCGAAACGCATCACGCCGCCCCGGCTAGGAGTCAAATCAATATTTTCAGATTCAAATATGGAGATTCAAATTCAGATATATGGAAATTTATTCCCGGCCGATAAGCCTGATAAACCATGGATACGAGGGGATATTCTAATGCTGCCGAACAGGGGAGATCGTGGTACAAAGTCATTCTGAAATTAACTGCGCCCACGGGAGTTACGAGTGATAACCAAAAATCGTTGCAAACGCGGAATATCTCGGTACTCGGCTCTCCCCGAATCAACCGCGAATAACGTTCTCTCTCGAGTTTCATCGATATATCGGATAGATCCGGTTACGACGGTCGATTCGAGAGCATAGTTCGCCTTTCCTTCGAGAATATCGTATAAGACTTTTTTATCGTCGCCTATCTCTCGTCGTTGAAAATCGATGACGCGGTCACTATTTCATTTTGAAATAGTTACTTCGTGTCGAGGTAAAAAAATTATTAAAGATAGCGTTAAGCGAATTTAATTTTAACCGAGTTATGTGTGAGAAACGTTTCGTTTTATTTCGAGGCAAATGAAAAAAAAAAAAAAAAAGAGAAATTTCGAGAGATAGAATATAAGTTAAAATTGCACAGAGACAGGTATAGATGGACGGATAAAAAAAAAGTTTGTCGGCAGGAAGAAAAGGTTCTTCGGATGGGAAAAAAAAAAAAAAAAAAAAAAAGAGAAATTTCGAGAGATAGAATATAAGTTAAAATTGCACAGAGACAGGTATAGATGGACGGATAAAAAAAAAGTTTGTCGGCAGGAAGAAAAGTTTCTTCGGATGGTAAAAAAAAAAAAAAGAAAAAAAAAGATGGTTCGAGGATACCATAGGATGTAACTTGAATACCTCCTAGAGAAGTCCTAATAACTCGCTTCTCGCTTTAATTAAGCTCTTAATATTAATGAACCTCTCGGGGATGTGAGTACAGAGATGTAGGAACGTATTGTGAGAAGTAATCGGATTAAAAAGAGACACCGAACTTGAATCCGTATTAGTTGCTCCGGTTCGCTCTGATGGTTCATCCTGTAATTGAAAACTCCGCCGGCACGGGAATCGTAAGATAAGTGACGAGAAAGTTTAAAGTCGATCGTTCTACGATTCCGACGAGTTGAAATCGGGTTGAAATTCAATCGGGATTTTTCTTTCCCGCCTTTCCCGAAAATTTTGAAACTTGATGAAAATTTGGAGGAACATCGCGAGAGGGAAATTACGAATCGAAGAATGATCTCGAAGAAGTTTTTCCTGTATTTCTTAAAAGGAGATTTCGAAAGCTCGAGGAGTATTAAGGGAAGAAATCGAACGAGACGCGTACCGACTCGCTAAATGTTGGCTGACAAAAGCCAGCGGAGGAAAGCGTCGTCCATGGCGTCGTTCTCTTCCTTTCCTTCTCCTTAACTTCCTACTCCGCAACAATTTCATCGGCACGCTCGAGTTGGCCGTTGGACTGGCCGTTGCGTCCCCTATAAAAGCGAGGGTAGACCATCGTGGAACCAGTGTGCTCACTGTCGGCCAACATGAACAGCACAGAGAAGCTGAAAGTGAGTAGCTCTAGTAAGACCAGCCACTTGAACTCCACCGTTTCTCCACTTCGCGCGCAAACGAAACTGTAACCGGTGAAAAAAATTCAGCTCTTTATCGTCCTCGATGCTGTCGATTCGAAAATCGTACTCGAGCGATAATACAAGAATCGGTGAAGATTTCTCTGTTCGAAGAAAATAATATCTACTTGGAACGTGCGAACGAAATTTCCCTTTTCATCCATCATTTCCTTTCTAAAATTTTCCTAAATTCCGATCCAAATCCTCTCTCAAATCCTCTCTCTAATGGGAAATGCAAGGCAAAGTTAATAACCCATAATTTATTCTCTTCAGATCTTACTTATCTGCGGCCTGGTCCTCTCGGCCATGGCCGAAGAGACGAAAAAAACGGCGGAGTCGAGCGTTCAACCAAAGGAGGAGAAGACGAAGCGCGGCTTGGAGCTTAGCTTGGGCGATCATGGGTTTGGAGGTGGTTTCGGCGGAGGTGGAGGATTTGGAGGCGGATTGGGAGGCGGATTGGGAGGCGAGCAGATATCCACCGATCACATCAAGGCAGTCACGGTCACAAAGACCGTCCACGTGCCCGAACCTTATCCCGTTGAGGTCACGAAACACGTACCCGTACCTGTCAGCGTACCGGTCAAAGTCCCGATCGACAAGCCAGTCCCTGTCCACGTGCCCCAACCTTACCCGGTCACGGTCGAGAAGCATGTGCCCTACCCGGTCGAGAAGCCCGTACCGTATCCTGTCAAGGTGCCGGTCAAAGTGCCGATAAAAGTACCTTTGCCGGTCAAGGTGCCGGTCAAGGTGCCTGTCACGGTACCAAAACCAGTGCCCTACCCTGTCAAGGTGCCGGTGGTCGTGAAGGAGCCTGTGCCGCTTATCGTTAAGGAGCACGGAGGAGGATTCGGCGGTGGAGGATTCGAAGGTGGGCTCAGCTTAGGCGGCGGCCACGATTTCGGAGGCGGTTTCGGAGGCGGTTTCGGAGGTCACGAACATTACTGAACCAAAGACTCGGGCGGTGCATCGTAGTCTTTCGCTTTCGTACGTTTCGTTCGTCGATCGGGACGAGATCGCGTCGGTCGGTAATTTCGTAAATTCGATCTTTCGAGAACGTTTGCTGGTCGAAACGTGAAGAGGACTGATCGGCGAGGAAACGTAGTAGCCATTCCCGTGGCAGACGTCAGTCTCGAAATGTACCAATATTGTATTCATCCGTGATCCCCAACATCATCAAATTGTATTCTATTGTACGATATGTTTTTTTTTTTATGAACGAATAAAGCGATATTTTTTTATACATAACAAACCGATTATGTAATGTTAGGAGACATAAGATTGCTCGGGAGGGAGAGAATCGCTTTGACGGTTACGCGATCGGGTTGAATCGAGACTTTCACCGATTAATGTTACGTTACGGAGGTACACCTGTTCTGTAACCGAAGTGTTGTCAGCGAGATAAAGATACATCTATACGTTTTCTATCTGCTGCGTAACGCGAATTAATAGAAAGGGAAAACGAACGTCGATCTGCGTAAAAGTCCGTATTGCAATTTATTTGACGACATACGTGTGCATTCTCTTTGAGCAATCTTGATGTTTTCGACGCCCCATCCCTCATCAGTTCCCTCTCTCGTCGTCTATCTCATAAAAATCGACGACGATTCTATTATTTCTACGGGAAATTTAATTTAGGAAAAATATTTGCTTTAGCGAATATTATATTTACTTTGCGGGAATAAGTCTCGAGGGAAGGGGGAGATGGAAAAACGAATAGGACAAAATAAAATCGTAATTCGACGTCACAGCCAAACCCTCTTTCCGCCCAGTCTGATTTCATTTCCGCGTGCAACGTTCGTTTTCCCTTTGCGCGCGCACGATAATCTCCCGGCGAGCAGAAACTGAAAGTGACCCCAGAATCCGTATAAACGGATTTTAAAATCTGGGAAAAGAGGGTTTTGTAGGCGTCGCAGTGTGCAACGCAAGTTCGTTACGTTGCGCACGAAATTACAGAGGCGTATCGTATGCGATTGCGGTTTGCTTGGTTCAGCGAATCCGCCAGGATTCGAACAAGGAAACGTGCTTACGACAATTTTGGCACATTGACGAATGCCCTCTGCGAATATACGTTCTATCGACCTTGTCCAATCCACGATCAAACTGCGTGGTAACAATCGCGTTTCGATCGGTCATCGATCGATTAAATTATATCGATGCAACTTGCTCTGCGTTTCGAACTGCACGGTGAACAGATTATCGCCGATTTACAGAAATAAACGGGCGAAATGAATAATAGATATTATTATTCGCACGATTTATCGAGCGAATTGATCGAGGAAATAATCGATCGTAAACACGATAATGTTATAATGAAAATTAATCGTCTAATTACTTTGATTAATCAAAGTACTTACTCAAATAGAGAAAGAGATAGGCACGATATTTGAAACCAGTTTATCAAATCGCGTTGAAGCAAAAATTATTACGTAATATCTACCGTATTTTTAAGATACAATTATCCAAGTTTATCTCCTGCTGGCCAGACGAGTTTTCGTATATATAACAGCCTGCTTACCGATATTTTTCTATATACGAAGACACACACGAACGGTTAGTTAGCAAATCACGTTATTTAACGTGCGGCGAGCAAGATAATCATATTTAATGATCTAGGAAGTTTATACAAGAGAGAGAAAGAAAGAGAAAGAGCGAGAGAGATTTCTTCGATCAGCGCATGTGAATGGCGTTCATGTGCAAAGAGGAACAGAAAGATGCAGATACGACGTTCCTCGATGATATATATATATATAT